TTGTTGGGCTTGTACTTCTTGCCCTGCGCACTGCCTCCAGCCAGTGGGGCGTGGGGCGTGTGGCGTGGGGCGCCGCCTTAACGTTTCCAGCGGCGTAAATTATATTGGGCTTAGCATAAATCGTCAATTACAGCACATGATTATTATTAGGCATTATGGCTCGGTCCCAGGCCCGGCACGGCTAAAGGACGGGCTTAAGGCTTAGCTGGAGTCGCAGTCTGTGCTTGAGCCTGAGCATCGAGTCTGTGGCCACGCCCGCACCAAGCCCAATCCGGCCAGAGGTCTGCTAAAAACGCGCTAAGCGCCATAAGCGCCAGTTTTATGGCAAGCAGCAGCATCCTCCTCCTCCCGGGCGGCTTTAAATTATGGCCTAGTACGCAGGCTGAGCCTCGATTAAAGCCCAAAGCCAAGCAGGCAAAGACAGCAAAGACAACAAAACGAAAAAGAAAAAGAAAAAGCCAGTGGCTGCTGCTCTTGAGATCGTGTTGCACAGATATGTGTCTATCTAATATAATTAATACACCTTTTTTTTCATTTGGGAACTTCTTGGGCTTTGTGTTTTCTCTCTTTTAACAAGATAGATATAACAAAGGTCTCGCGCCTGCTAAGCTGATTTACTATTTATCGCACAGAGTTATAAAAACACGTAAGAGTAGATACATAGATACATAGATACGTAGATACATAGATGTGTAGATACATATTCATAAAGTATGCAACAGCAACAACACAATATAAATCAATCAAAAGCGTACAAGTTCATTGACAGCTCGCACAGCTTGCCAGCCTCAAGCTTCGGCGGCAGCAACAACAACAACAACAACATCAAGAAATAACAACAACAGCAAACATGATCCATGATCCTCTTGGAAAACGGGGCTGTGGCCGGTCTGTGCCTGTCAAATGGCCGGACCACATTGTAAGTTATGATTAGCTCAACGCGCTCAAGATTTAAGACCGGAAACGTACTCGTCGAGTGGAGGCAATCGGTGCTGCGGTACAGGAGGCACTCGCTACGACTCCTCGCATGCCGGGCCAATAATTCAAATTCAAATTCAAATCTCAATAGTTTTGAGTGATTTGAAATGTGATTTGCGCATTGTTTTGACTGCAGGCGAAGCATTGCATTTTTATTGGCTTTTTGAAAAGCCCGCATCACCAGAGAGCCGAGACCCAAATACCGACCCAGTGCGAGCGAGCAAGCTGGATAGCTCCAGATGAAGCGAGATAGTTAAGTGCACCCACTCGATGACGCCTAAAATTGCCGGACAGAGCTTTTGCATAAATTATGGGATGTTACTGACATTGTATTGGAGCTGGAATGGAAAGACAGAGATAGAAAGAGAGACAAATAGAAAGAGAGAGAGTTTCTTTTTCTCTTTAAATATGACTGTCGAGAGAGTGCTGCCCAGTTAATTGATAAATTGTTCAAATTAAATTACTAAAGGTCTTTCAGAAATAGTTTATCAGTCTTGTAATCTTATAGAGAAGAGGGCAACATTATAATACCTAGAAATTTCACAGACTCTGTGAAGCTTAATAATATTTCTAATAACTTTATTATCTTCATCAGTTACTGAGATTACTTGTAGTCGTTCGACGAAGTGAAAAGACTATTTTGGTATTCTACGAAGCCTGTCGTACTGTTAAGTGCGCCGTTATTCAGTCTGGAACCGCCTCTTAAGATATCGGGAATTACCTTCTGGTTTATAAGAAAGACGTTTTCATTTTGGGTGCTATTGCAGAAATTGGTTATTTGTAACTTAAGATCTCAACTGATCTTCCTGATCAGCTTGATCAAGCCTTGGTGATTGTGGTATATAAACTGCTTATACATTAGTTACAGCTTAAAAGCGCCTGGCTTAGTTTAAACAATCTGAGATAGCCAAAACCAAGTGAAGTAATTCGGAGTTCTGGCGTCGGTTGAGGTTTTTTTCAACACAAATTCCCATGCAGCTCGAATTGTAGCAATTGGCAAACGTGGCATATTTTGCATATAATTGGCTATAAAACTTCATGTTAATGTGCAATTAATCATATTAGCAATTAACTTTATGCTGTTCGGCTGCACTGCACGAGATCGTCGAAGATCGTTGCAGATCGACCTGAAGCGTGGGGCGTGGGGCGTGCAGCGTGCAGCGTGGAGCGTGGATCGTGTCGCAAACCCGCTTAGAAGCGAATGTCAGCCAGTTGATGTTCGTTTTTTCCAATTCATATTTTTCTCTCATTCCTTTTTTTGGTCCCGTTTCCTATTCAAGCTCCCGCTCCCAGGCTGAGTTGAGCCAATTTTCAAAATTTATTTCTATGTTCGAAACGCCGACAACTTTTCTGCTGGCCAAATTGATAAAGCGTACAGAAGCCAAGTGCAATGCTACTCTCTCTCTCTCTCTTGGGAGTCGGGTAGCAAGTTGAGTGCATAAAATTTAAGTATTATGACCATACGTTGGTGGGGTACTGGTCGCTTTATGAGGCCGTAAACTGGCGCAGAACAGACGCATATTGAAATAAAAGAGGATGAAATGGAGAATAACATAAACAAAGTTGAGAAAAAGACTTGGGTAAGTGTAACCGGCAGGCAACAGCTAGTTAACCATCAATTAATCAGCCGTGCGTAACGCCATTTGGCACAAAGCGGGATCCTCTCCACCTTAACACACACACACACAAACAATTGATAGCCAATAATCGTTAATTGTTTTCTATACATCGGGGCTTTGTGTGTTTCCCATTGTTTGCAACCCTTTGACGATTGCCCATTGTCTTCTTTGTGGCTATCACAGCGTGTGTTCTTTGAGCCACTGCAGTGTCTTTTCATTAAGTGGCTTTCATACGCTTATCGCTTGGCTACTGGGCATGCACTGTACCTGGGCCATAATTAATAACAGTTAATTTACTTAGCGGCCACTAATGAATCCCATTTCTATATACCTTCAGAGCCTCAATCCGGAATGCGGCGTGAAGTCCGCAATAAAGTTTCAAACGTGTTAGGCAACTGATTAATGCCTTTTCGGAGACACGAATAAAGTTAAATCATGTTTACAGAGGCTTGTGTCAATTAGTTATTCTTTGACAAATACCATTTATTAATACGAGTTCGATGCAAAGTGCTTAAGACAAGTGAATTGTGAAAATTAATGTAGTATCGATAGCTTACAAATATAATTTGTATTCTGTAGACACGTGGAAGATGGACATTTAAGTATTTAAGGTTTTTGGTCAAATATTAATTAGCTAAAACCCTAATAAATAATATTTATGGTGTACAGGAAAACAAACTATTTACAGGTAAAATGTACAAATAATCGAGAGGCTAAAGACTGAGAGGGAATCGACCGAATCAGCTTAAATTTCGCAAAACGATCCAGTTAAACAACCTGTAAAATCTCGAAGTTTAATCATTTTTCATATGAAACTTAAAGAACTTCAGATCTGAAAAAACTTCGACTGTATCAGATCATTCTAATTTTGACTCAGTCAGTTGTTGTTACTGTAGATATATTAACAAAAGTTGTGCTTTGAGCGATCTTTCGATTATTTATTTATGTTTCTGACTGCGTCTTGGCTCGATACAATTATTTTAATAATATTTAAATTGATCTTAATGATAGTCTTTTTGGCAAAATACCATCTGTGGGTGTAAGACGCAGTACTTGCACAGTATTATATCAGAAGTATCTCGACATTTAGTTCTGGTTAATTGCACACATTTAACTCTCGACCTGAGCATCTTTTGATCTTACCTGCATATATCAATTCAATTCAAAAATGTTTATTATTTGTTGATTTGCATTTCAATGAATTCTTCGTTTAGTACTCTTGTTTAAAGATTCTCAGTTTTGTCAGCTTAAGATCAAAATGATACAAATATAACTTAATAATATTAATATAATATGAAAGGTGTTTAAGCACATTATATAATATATGTATTTGGGCTCTTTTATTAATATAATAATAATAATAATTAGCATTTTGCAACTGTTTTAGATTGAAAGAAATAAAAAATAAGTTTTAATTATTTTTAAACTGAGTATTTGATATCTTATAAAATCAATAATAATATTGAATTAAATAATATAATTTTAATAAATTTGTAATTCTTGATAAATTGATTCACATCAGCAATATATGTAATATATATTGGTGCGTGGGGTCACAGTTACTTGATGTCTTGTTTTGTATAGCAATATATGCTATGATTCTGCCTTTGCGCAGAATAAAAGTGGAACAATAATATTTATTTATATAATCTTAGAACTAGTTAAGATGTAGCAATAAGCGCAGAATTATTGGCATATCTGCCCTCCCATTAGATAAGGTTTAGAGCTAAATTTAAATAAATTTATATTTGTTAACGAATATGGACAGCCTCGAGAGCTGCCATTTCTTGCTTAAGAGAATTTGTAATCCGGGTTTCTTTGCACCTATTTAGCGACATCCCTTTTAAGGGGTTCATTTGGAATTTAGTTGGGCGCATAAAAATATGCAACACTTTGAGGCGTCGTCCGATGTCCGCTGGTCCGTTGAGCGAATTTATGTGGACTGCCTTTTCACTCAATTTCCGAACATATTTAGAAGAGAAAACACGCTCAATTACATTTCACTTTCCAAGGGAAGGCCGTAGCATCGCAGCACATGAGACACACATGTGTGTGTGTGTTTGTGTTTGTGTGACAGCCCACCGCCCTTTGCGCCCGCCCTTGTTGCCTTTTGCCACATGTTTTGTGGATTATACAATGTATGCTGAGAGTGTGAGTTGGTGTGTGTGTGTGTGCACGAGTGTGTTTGCGAGTGTGCGTGCAGCACAATCTGTTTGTGAAGAGTCGTTTTTTCCAGCAACAAACGCTCAAATAGGGGGACGACAGCCACTCGTTGAATTCGTTTCATTCTGGCCCTCAGTCAATTGAAGAGATTTATATGGCGATCGGCTGAGCATATTTCAGTTGCGATCTGACTAGAGACACAGTTACAGTTACGTGCAGAAACGAACGCATCGGAGAGTGTACTGTTAGCGCAATGTGCAACAATTATAATGAATACTAAGTAATATACTATACAAACTGCGTATACTTATATTTAATAGAATTTTTCTATCTGTCGCGCCGATATGCAGTGTTTGGTGTTCGTTGTTGTTATTTGCAGAGTCAAGTGTGCCTGCAGTTCTATTATTTTTAAATTCTAAAATGCTAGAGAAAATATTTCTGGAATTTTAAGTGGAACGCTAAAAGCGCAGAATAAATATCATTTAAATATCAAAGCAGAAAGTTATTTGTGTTGCACAAGCCCCCATTTACATAGGATCAGGAGGCGCGTCTATATACTCTGTATACATATATAAATACATTGGATTCAAATTGGCAGCGGATTCTCACCAAGAGATAAGCCAAGGTAAGCTGCTCAATACGCACTATGTTAAGCTTTTATTCAAAATAGTTTCTCTGTTTCTCTTCTTGGTTTTGTTATTTATGCCTAGTTCGCGTTTCTCTTGCGTAATTGCGCAAATGATTTGTTTAGACCACTTTTTGATTGATCCCCGCGCAGCAATTTGACTTTTTAACCCGTTTTTTTTTCTTGTTTTTCTTTTGTATTGTCTCTGGCTTTTTGTGGGGTAAACAAACAGCAACTATTGTGCCCAGTCCAATTTGTGTTGTTTATTTGAGTGCGAGTCCGCAGTCGATCGTTCAATTATCAAAACTGTTTTTAATGCTAGTTTTTTACTCGGCCCCTTCTACTGCTCATTGAGGCAATGTAGCGTAGTTGCCCCCATTTAGGGCACATGCCACACATTTCATGCTTTATGACCAAAACGTATACAGTAGTCACTGGCGGAGCCAAAATGAGAAATCAAATTATCTCTTCCTAAATGGTTCATGAATATAGAAAAATAGTTTCAGGTGATTTGAATGAACATTGTTTAGGGAAATAATTGTTGAAGTACAAAAGCATTTGAGTAGAGGTAAATTATGATGAATCCTAGAATTTCGAATTATCGAGTGATCACTGTACAGCACGCTGTAAGCATATTTTATACAATAACTAGCTATCTAATGCTATTAATTCTTTCCCATGAATTTTTTGAGTTCATTTCATTCTCCAACAGCGCGTGTGTTTATCAACACGTCCATATATATATATATATATAACATTTATATACATAAATATCGGTCTATACTACAGATATGAACATGCAATATTTTCCCGCCGCATAAACAAACATTCTAAATGATCTCCCCGTCCATAGCAAATGGCTATTATGGATATACACAAATGTACATCTGTCGGTTGGGGCAGCTTCTGTTCTTTAGCTTCGCTTCTGTTTTGTTGGCTTTGGCAGAAGCTCCGTTGTTGTTGTTTCAGTGCTGTGTGGATCGTTACAGATGCGCTTGTTCGACTATTTGAAGAGCTGTATTACATTGTTTAGCCACTTTTGGGGTATACACACTCGCACATACCTTCAGTTGCACACCTGAGCTAGTTAATAACCTTCGCATTTCGCACGTATTCGCTGGCAATGAGCCGTGGCGCACTGCATTCCCGAGCCGTTTGCTATCGATATGTGAAAAGTATTTTCTGGTTAGCTGTGAAATATTTGAAATTGATTCAAACCTGAACAAATTCGCTGGCCAATTCAATTGTTAGCCAAGCGGCATTAGCCATTGGCATTTTTTCGCGTTCACGATTGTGTGTTTATTTGCTAAATATTGCCAATCTGGTGGGGGTTTATTTCTGTACAGAGCAGGAAATATATTACCTACGAGTCAAGTAGTATGGTACGAAGGTCAAATGATTTATTTTTGGGACGGGAAACTCGTGTCGAGCAATCCTCTGCATACGATATTTTCACATCGATATTGAGTGTTTTCTTCCAATGGAGTACAGACACGCTGCATGCAACACATGCAACACATGTGGCTACACTGTAAGTAAAGACCCGGAGTGTCCCCTGTTTGTGAATGATGTTCATGTTGCTGATGATGATGCTGATGCTGATGTTGATGTTGATGTTGATGCTGATGTGCCCACATGTCAAACAGGGCGCGACAATGCGCGGCTGCTGCTGCTGTGTCTATGTCTGTGGCTGTGGCTGCTGCCATGGCGTGTCCCTGCGATGCCGAATGACAATAGCTCACCAAATGTGACTGGAAACAATATTTTCCCTTGTCTTGAACGGGTACTCCAAGCCATAGCCACGATCCACGCACCGTTTTAAAAGGGGCACGAACGGCTGGTGGCCAGCGAGAGGAGGAGGAGTAGACAACGTAAACACACATTATATACCCTGTACACTTCGTTCAAGTGTTGCTGAGAAATTTTTTCGCTTTCTAAATTTCTAAGTTTTTATACAATATTTATATATAAAAATGTTGCTGCATACAAGGAAAATCAATAAGAATATTGTACCTAAGTGAGGCGCCAACCATGTAGACTTAAGACTCCTTACCACAAGTTCCTAAGGACAAAATCAAGTAGAATACTCAATGGAAAGATTGCTTGGTTAATGTCAAGTATGCAATTTGAAATTTGGATTCCTTTATAAATCCAACGAGATTTGTTACCTAATCATAAAAATAAGCCAATTTCATAATCTATACTTTATATCAGTATCTCGTGGTGTCTGTCAAAAAGTGGGCCAGAGCTCTTCAGATTTTTACAGGGTCACTCGTAGTCGTATACAGGCCTTGTTGAATGTTTGTTTTTAATTTCTTTTAATTTTGCTACCGCTGTGGAACAGATGTGGGCTGCATGAGGCAGAGGCACATTGAGAGCGTCTGTTTCTGTTTTAATTAAGCGAGAGCCATAGCGGGAGTGAGCATCAGAAAGAGAAAGCAAGAGCAAGAGAGCCACACTCAGAGAGAAAGCGAGAGTGAGAAAGAGTGCATCGACACGCATATGTGAAAAATTAAGGCTGTCTGCTGAAAGCGAAAAAAGGCGCAAAAGATGCGGGAAGCAACGACGGCAACGGCAACGATCGACAAACAGAGCGAGAACCGCCAGCGACATTTGTATGCCCACCCGTTAAAAATACCGAACTGAATGTTCTCTGCAACAGCAGCAAACATTCAATTGAACAGAACAGCACAGAGCAGAGCAGAGCAGAACCGAACTGAAACAAACACAACAACAGCAACAAAATAATATAACTGTGGAGGGCCAACTAAATTGAGTCGTTCGTGGCGCAGCCGCAGTTGCCCTGAGTAGGACGCGAGCAGTAGTTGGTTTTGTTTTTTTTTTTTAGTATACATGTATTTATTTGCTTCTGAGCGTAGGAGCCGCAGCCTCTGTCTGGCCTCTGGCAGCGACCACGACGTACTACAAAAATCGTCTCTGCTGCATTTAGAACAGTTTTCGACCAGAGCTGCGGAAATTCACAACGAATCGCGCGCGCTAAAGATCGGAGAATCACGCAATATATATTAAACTCGCACCCTCTCAACGTCATATAGACAAGTGCCACTGTTCTATGCTGCTCTGTATCTGTAAATGTATCTGTACTTATATCTGTGTGTTTGTGTATCTGTAGCTAGATCTGTATTTGTGTTTTGTGCAAAAAATAGAACATTATCTAAATGAACTACATGCAGCTGTAGCTGTGGCTGTAGCTGCTGTGTTGCTGTGCTGCTGTGCTGCTGTACCGTGTACTTGTAGGTAATCAACGTCCCTCAGTTCCTGTTCTAAATACATATACACACACAAATATATGTATATGTATATGCAAAATAAGTATGTGCGTATATCATTTCTTAGCCAATATATGCCTCTGCCATTGCCATACGTATTCGTGTAGTCAACGAAATGTATTCTCTGGCATATGGAAGGACAGAAAACCTAGTTTGCATTTGCTGCGGGCTTCAAAGAGCCGTTACAAACTGTTCCATTTTAACAAAAGCCATAAAAGTGCAGCACTTAATATAACCTTTTATTGTTCGTTCTCACACAGGCAGGACAGGACAGGACGGGTGGGCATACGCGTAGTTGATTTTATATAGTTGGCTCGTAAAGCTATTTTGAAAGCAATAATATATTATTATTTATTCGATATTTTGCATATATTGAACCTACGTCGATGTAGCAAAGTGAGCTCATTTCTTGCTTTATTGGACCAATTCAATTTGCATGGCACGCGCTTGAAATAACAGAACAAATCAGAAGGAAACACAGCGGAAATGTACGCGACATTTTAATTAAGCCTTGCCCTGTCTTGCCTTGCCAAAATGTAAATGGCTTTTAATCAGAGCTGGAGAACATTCAAAAAATCTCTGGAATTAATTGGCAGAAAAATTAAATGAGTAAACAAAAGCATTCAAAGTCTGATGCGCAAAAAGTTGCAAATGTTTATAAACACAAAAAATGATCATGAGTTTTACGTTTTCGTGTGAAAAGCACTTTGTTTATTGCAAAAAAAAATAAATAAAATCGAAGAAAAACTAAAATGAATATTGAACTCAATATATCGGTATTTTCTAGTGCCAAAACATTCGGTGAGATTTCGGAATTACAATTTTCGTATTTTTACTAGAGTAGGAAAATGAAATTCATTTGCGCGATTTATGGACGTCTGATCTACAATGCTAACTACTGAATGCTAGACAAGAGCTGGAGTTCATTTCAAAGATCACTTCACAACTTAAGTTTTGCCCTTGATCTCGGCGTGTTTGCCTGTCTCGCTGACTGTGTTGCGCCCTTTGATGGTGCCACACGCACGTCAAGGGATATTAAAGCCAAGTGCTGCACTTGTTTACGGCTTCTTAGGGTGTTCGTCTCGATGGCCCCTTTTAGAGCTAAGATGCCACATTCGTTGGGCAATTTCTCAGTTTGAATTTGGGAAAATAAGAGAACATATTAGTCGTATACAAACGGAAATGCGCATAAATCTAATCGTCTGCATATCTTCCAGGTGCTGCAGCTATTCCATTCTGGCATTACTATGTGATCTATGAGATGGGACACGCCCACAAACTGGATCAGAGTGAGATGTCTCAGCGGAAGGCATGGCTGCCATAAATCCATCAACGCACTGAATAAATCAAACAGAGCACAAGCGACAATAATTAAGAGACCCATGAGTACATACACATTTCTATTTTGGGGAAGTGTATTTCCGTTACATTGCAAGGTGATCATCGACAATCAGCATCCGATTCCGATTCGGATTCCGACTCCAAATTCTGATCGCAAAGCACTTCAAAGTCACCGCGTTTAAGCGCACACATGTTGCTGGCGATCAAGTTGAGCCAGCGGCAACTGTTGTTATTTCCATCATAAATTAGAAAAATCTAGAAGAGATCACTGATCTGTGCGAGGGTGGAAAGAGAGACAGACCGAAAGAGCGAGAGACAGACAGAGAGAGAGAGAGTGAAAGTGAGTGAGCGTAAGAGCCAACCATCTCTCAGCTAAAGTGGATTTCCGGTGAATACAACAAAAATACAACGGCATATTCGACACACAAAGTTATTGCATTAAAGTCAACTCAACCCCATTTGCTGTCAAGGAGTCGCAGTGCCAAGTTAGGGAGTTACGACTACAAGAAGTATATATATTTATATATATAGAGCAAAGAAATATAAATGTTTGGCAGTATCTGGCGACGCGTTGCCAGTAACAGAAGCAGCCAAAGAATGTCCACAAGTTTTCTCTGCCTGCTGCTCTTGTGCATCTCGATTGCAGCAGCGCGGCGAGCGCCTGTGGCCAGCTCGCAGGAGCTAAGCAAGGACTATGATATGCCACACAGCGCCAACAACAACAACAACAACAACACATCAACTACACAGAACAATATCAATGCCGAGGAGGATGAGGATGCGGATGAAGATGAGAAGACTGGCACGACTGGCTCTAGCCCCGGCTCAGCTGCTGGTCAGGATGTCAAGCAACAATTTGCGCCTCGCTTTAAGAATCCCAAGAAACTAAGCACGCTTTACACGCGACCCTCGGGCTCAACGCTTGCGCTGAGCTGCCAGGCGGTGGGCAATCCGGAACCTAATATCACTTGGTATAGGAACGGTAGCAACGACTTAACGCGCATCTACGGCAACTATCGCAAAACTAAGTGGCAAATTATCATGGAGGATCTGGTGCCCGAAGACTCGGATCAGTATACGTGCGTGGTATGCAACCCGTTGGGCTGTCTCACCCATGTGATGAATGTGATGGTCACCGATCGGGTGAACCATAAACCCATTTTGCTTAAAGGACCCGCAAATCTGACGCTGCTGATCAATCACAGCGGTCACATGGAATGCAAATATTTGTCGGACTTAACTAGCAGGAAGGCTTGGGTCTTTATGCCTTGCAAGAGCGTTAATGATTGCTCCAAGAACAGAACGATTCTAGCCGAAGATGTGGACCGCTTGGAGTTTCTGAATGTGACCCAGGACAAGGAAGGCTGGTACACGTGCATCGAGAGCAACAGCTTGGGCCAATCCACAAGCCGAGCCTATTTGCGCGTAGTGCGCAGCTTGCAGCTACTCGAGGCGAATCTTGGCAGTGTGTTGCCCGAAAATTCCATGTTGGCTGTCTTTATCTCGGTGACCGTCATGCTGATCATGATTTGCATCATCTTCGTGGCTTATGCCGTTCGTAAGATGAAGCACGAGAAGCTGCTTAAGCAGCGCATCGAAACAGTGCACCAGTGGACCAAGAAGGTTATCATATATAAGCCCGCTAGCGGAGGCGATTCGAGTGGCTCCATGGACACCATGATAATGCCAGTGGTGCGAATTGAAAAGCAACGCACGACCGTGCTTCAAAGTGGCAACGAGCCGGCGCCCTTCAACGAATACGAATTTCCACTAGACTCCAATTGGGAGTTGCCGCGCAGCCAACTGATGCTGGGCGCTACGCTTGGCGAAGGCGCCTTTGGACGCGTTGTAATGGCCGAAGTAAACAATGCCATAGTGGCTGTAAAGATGGTCAAGGAGGGTCACACGGACGACGACATTGCCAGCCTGGTGCGCGAAATGGAGGTCATGAAGATCATTGGCCGGCACATCAATATAATAAATCTGCTTGGCTGCTGCAGCCAGAGCGGGCCGCTCTATGTGATCGTAGAATATGCACCGCATGGCAATTTAAAGGACTTTCTGTACAAGAACCGACCTCTGAGCAAGGAGCAACTGGACAGCTCGCAGTCTGCTCCGCCGGCGCCACAGCATGTAATCACCGAAAAGGATTTGGTCAAGTTTGCCCACCAGATAGCACGTGGCATGGATTACCTGGCGTCGCGTCGTTGCATTCATCGCGATCTGGCGGCTCGCAATGTGCTAGTCAGCGACGACTATGTGCTGAAGATTGCGGACTTTGGACTGGCGCGGGACATACAGAGCACGGATTACTATCGGAAGAATACCAATGGTCGCTTGCCCATTAAGTGGATGGCGCCCGAATCGCTGCAGGAGAAGTTCTACGACTCACAGAGCGACGTCTGGTCATATGGTATTCTACTTTGGGAGATTATGACATTTGGAGCTCAGCCTTATCCGGCCATCATGTCCGCCGAAGAGCTCTACAGCTATCTGATGTCGGGGCAGCGCATGGAGAAGCCGGCGAAGTGCTCAATGAACATTTATATTCTGATGCGACAGTGCTGGCATTTCGATGCCAGTGCCCGGCCGCCCTTCACAGAGATAGTCGAGTACATGGACAAGCTGCTACAAGCCAAGGAAGACTATCTCGATTTGGACGTGGCCAACTTGGAGACGCCGCCCTCGACGAGTGATGAGGAGGACGAAGAGGATGCATCCGATATGGAGCACTCGCGCTATCACTACTAGCTGCTTGATAACGACTACCGATCGAACTATCGACCAAGTGATTTAAATAACTGTACATACTGAGCTCTCGGGCTGCCTAATCATAAGTCTGTAAATCGCTAGAATTTCACTCCACCAAAGGCGAAAACCAAAAAACTATTTAATCCGTGCTAGCTTAAGTATAAATGTATTTTTCCTATGTATACTGATGTAAATTATTAATGTGTAAATTTTCATCTTCGAGTTATCTAACACTTACCTGACTTAAATCAGAGCATTTGCAAAAGATTGTCAGCTCAGAATCGAGCTAAAGTAGAAGCTGCACAAATCGAAAGTTCAATACTGATCAGAATACTTTAACAAGAAAAGGTTGCTACAAAGGTTTAACTGTCGAAAGCAAAATGCGCCAAATAATTATATGTAAAGTACCTAAAGTATATTGATAAATTTCGCAGATAAGATTCTTATACTTGTGGTTAATCTGTAATATTTGACTGTTCCATTGTAAAGTGGTAAATCTGAAATGTACAATTATTCAACTCAATTTAGTACAGTTTAAAGGAGAGCAAAAAATAATTTGCGAATTACAAATACTGTTAAGCCGTTAAGCGTTCTAACTTGCGAGCGTTCACTGTACGAATGCAAAGGCAAAATGAAATTATTATTGCATTTAATGTGGAAACAAATAATTTAGTTTATGGGCGATATTAATTCCTAAAACACATTTCTTAAACAAAAATATTTGTTTCTAATGGAAACGGAACTCAATGAAGATGAACTTTTATATATATGCACAATTTACAGTGTTATGCGTAGTACGCAATACAAATATGTAAGAACAATATATGTTTAAAATAGAGAATAACCCCAGATATCGAATAGCTTATATATACACACAGATATTTAATAGTAGTAAGCATAAGTTAGCTTGTAGCTTATGGTTGTATTTGATTATGTTGTATTTGTATTTATATTTGTACTGATTCTATGTAGTATTCACATGTTTAAGCTATAAGATAAAGCATCTGTATCTTGTGAGCTATATAGCTCGTATGCTAGTGCCTTATATAAAAAATAAATGTTGTACTCGTAGTATGAAACCAACAACTTACAAAGTGCTTGCGAAAGGTGGCAACTCTGGTTCAACTAGCTAAATTAGTTCAATTGCTCATTTGCGAGCCAATCATTTTATTCACACGTTCAGTTAGAGTAGTTCATGACTGATACTAATTCTTCGCTCGGAATAACTAAAACGGATCTGCAGAGAACGAATGAGCTGAAAAAAATTATTGATCGCCTGAAAGGCTGAATGTTAATTTCGATAGAGTTGAATGGAATTAGTCCTCGATGATTCATGAGCAACTGAACTAATGATTGTTTACTGATTGTTACATTGTTTACTGAAGTGTCTCAATGTACGCTCAATCGAACTTATGCTTCACGATACGATACCTCTCTAATGGCAGCTGACCAAGACCAACACCAACACCAACAGCAACAGCAAGACCGACCAAGAGCAAAGCCGACAAGATCATGACGTCTCAATTTGAAAATCTGTGTAAAAATTATAAAAACAACAACCGAAGCTGTCGATTTGGGCCGCACGAGGCACGCGCGTCACTAAACGGAAAATGATGAATGGAACGACGCGACGGCTCGGCGGTTGGTTTTTTCCTCTCGGTGGTTCGCTGAGTGGGCTGCCAGAGGGGCGAAGGTGGCAGGGGAGTTGTGCGACTTGAACCCTGGGTCTTTAGTAGCGGCGTCCGCGTTGGCGGCTCGTTTGTTGACGCGCCAAATGCCACAAGCAACGACGTCGACGGCGCTGGCGATGCAATTAGACGATAATGCAAGCCAAGTCAGAGTAAAAAAGGTTATATATAAATATATTTGTATATATGTATGGCTGTACACAAGTTGAAATAGGTCTTTAGTTTCATTTTGGGTGTATTTGCAATGAGTTCTGTCCCAGTCGGTGGCTGCGGGCCGTTTGTTGGCCGCGTTGCTTGAGCTGTTGGCCTGCTCCGTCAGCAGCGATTGCAACATTGTAAGATATGAATTCCGCGGCAATTTAAATTAAAATCTGCACTCGCTGCAATATATAATAAAAATTTAACATTTTGATTGGCATTTTCGTGTGCTATTAATCTTTTCCGAAAATTATGTTACAAGTTGCTTTTATTGAAGTTTCTGAAATTTCAAAGCATTTAAATACAATTGTAATTAATTATAAATGTAACTTGAATCGGACTTAATTTGTCAATTTCCAACTGATTAAAAACTGTTTTGACAGGCATTTTGCATATCTTCAGTTACTATTTTTAATTAAAGCTATACAAAAACTTTTGTCAAATAGTTTCCCTAAATTAATTTACTCTGAAGTTGATTTTGTGATAAGGATATTTTATTTATCTGCAAACAATTGTGTACTTTGTTATATGCAATTTTATTTTAAACATGGCTAATCAAAATATATTTAGCAATTAATTACACAGATAGATAATATAGATTTCGAAAATCAAATCGAGATTAATACCATAACGTTTCTCAAGCTCAGACTATTTTAATTGTTCATCTTAGAGTAGTTATTTTTAATAAATTAAATATGTCGTATTATTATATTATCTTATAATCCGTTGCTTAGCTGTTACTTCATATACAATTTGTTTATATAAAGAAACATATTTGCTGCAGCGCAATTATAAATAATAAAATAATTGCATATTCGAAATGTATATCGAAAGCAAGTAACTACTCTTATCTCCAATACTCGTTAAAGTATTTTCCTTACTCCTAAAACCCAGCGTTGAATACGTATTTGTTGATTTGTGTTGTCTCTCTTCTTGACTCACTGGATTTGCCGACAAATTTTCATCGCTTTCCACGACGATCATTAATTATGCAGCATTAGACGGTAAACGGGTATGGGGGATCGTTAATCGCCAACGCAGTAGATATTTTTGATTATTAATCTCAATTTCCATTGTGTCCGTGGCACACGCTAAACTGCATTTTCGATAATTTATCAATTCGGTTGAGAAAGAGATATATTAAACGGGCACAAAAACTATATATAAAGTGTGGCATTAAAATTGTTTTGTCTGTGGTTTTAATTAGGGCTTGGTCTCTGTAGCTGTGGGCGTGACAGCGATGCGCATCTAATGATCGGAAGTTTGACACGTGTCTGAATGCTGAGGCGTGGGCAGCAGCGCTGACCACAGCTCGCAGCTACAACAAGAGCAATGCAAAAGGCGTGGGCTGTGGACGACCCCGCCCTGGCTCGCAATTATTGCGTGAATATGTTAATTGAAAAACTTTATTAATTGAGCCATGAAAAACATTTTCCCCATGCAAACAGGCAGACAGACAGAGCATGCACTAAAGTCAGCTACCTCAGGAAGTTGACCAAATAGTCTATGCGGGCATTTACCAACATAATTCGTAACGATCGGCTGTCGAATGGTCAGTATGGTCAGTCAGGTAGCCAGCTAGCCAGCTAGCAAGCTCTGCAATATGTACTGGCTGCTGTCTCGAATGATCAATTAAATTTTTGTATTTTTGCCAAAGTCGGCTATTAATTTGCATGCGCTTTTTGTGTTGTCGATTGTTGCCGCGATCAAGCGACTGCTGCACAGGCACAGGTTGCCCCAACGAACAGTCCACATGGCTGCCTGTCTGCCTAGCTGCCTAGCTGCCTGTTCGCCTGTCTGGCTGTGTTCCATTTGAAAACCATTTTAAAAGACTACAAATTGCCTGTCCAATCCACCGTTCGTTGGCTGCACCGCACTGTCTGCCAGTCAGTCAGTCAGTCAAGTACCAGGCAAAATCGATTGCAGAGCTTCGATTTGACCTCGACTTGGCATGTGGATTTTTTTGGGAAAGGAGCTCTATGACGTTCATATTGAGTGTTATGTGGTATCCACGTACTCTTTCAGTTTACAGCTCACATTATTGTTTTGTTGTCTTCATGTTTATAATGGAACACCTGAAATTGAGCAGCTGTCGAAAATTTAAAAATCTGTTAAGCACTGCAAAAGTTAAGAAGTTGAGCCGTAAGAAGAGCTTTAACTAAATTCTAGTGTATAGCGATGATCAGAAGACTCTTTTCAGGAGGTAAGCAACTTTCACAAGTTTTAGTTACTGTTTATTTAAATGGAACTTAATTTGATCGTGCTATTGATACGTCTACGTTTAGTCTCTAGCTGCTATAGATTCCGAGATCGAAGGGCTCATACTGACGAAAAGACAGCCGGACACGGGTAGATTGGATCATCAACTCGTTGTCCAAAGCAGTCGTCCCACTTTATCCTTCTACATACATTTTTATAAAACAATTGCGTACCGAAGTTGCGTTTTCACTGGGTTCAGGGTCTAAAAAGATTTCTTAATAATCATAAGTAATAGCTAAGAATCTTTTTTAAAATCAAAAAAACTTTATATAAAGTTTAATATGTATATGTATATGGTAGTAAAGTCAACAGCCTCGTGATGACCTAAAAATGCTGCATCTGGTGAAGCGAATATAAATTTGCTGATTGGAAATTGCATCTTTATTCAGAGTAAATTCAGATGTAAATATTTAAGCTGGAAGTTTGCTTACAAAGTCCGCAGTTCTGGATCAAATGAATATTCTTACAGAAAAGTATAATTGTGTTATACTGAAACTGGGTCTGACAGACAACTATTGAGCAATAATAAAAAGTATGCTCTAGTCGGAGTTGCCCAACTGAGAGATACACTATGAGACACATAAACATAGAATTCAATTCTTCAATTCTTTCCAGAGCCCGCAAAGTTTATAATTGATTTTCATATCGAAATTTTAGTAAAATAAATATAAAGTTACAATAAATGTATATTCCAAGGTACCCGACTGAATTTATTGTACATATTTGCCTATGAAGCTAGCTTCAAAAACCATGTGGAACTATGAGATATCAACTTATAAGCTAATAAGCTTGTAATGTGTTCGGTATATTAAGAATCATAAACTCTATTGTCTCTAATCAATCGTTTGTTACAAATGTACGAATATCAAAGTAGTGCTTTACAACTAGATTGAAGAAAGAGTCGATTTGTATGTCTTAGGGAATGTTAAAGTTAACAATGTTGGCTCACAGCTTGGTACATTTTAAGGTAATTCTGGCATATTAAGATGCTTCTATTGTTCAGAACGAGACCCGTTCAAACATAGCTATAGATCGATGGGTCTGGCAAATCGAAAGCGAGATGCGCATTTAAAGCAATAAGTAAACAAATAAGAAACAAACTTGATGTTTGCTGTTCTTAAAATTTGTTGTATATTTGCTTTGGAAATGAATCAGTTTACCTGTTACTGGCACCTGTCCGAGCCACAGAAATAATCTTGTATACAAACCGCAACGCAATATGAATGCGAAAGTGTATTTAAAATGCGAATGCTCACCGGAAGTGTTGATTCATAGGGTTGTTGCTGCATCATTGGCTCGAAGATTTGCGTTTGTAATTAGTTGGATGGAACTAAATAGTCAGTCAAGTCACCTGGTTCAATGGGACGTATGAGTAATTGTTAGTCTGCAGCTTGGGCTGTGCTCCAATGCAAATTTTACGTTAATAACAAAGTCTTGCTGTTGTTCCTGGTGTTGTAGTTGCTTTTGCTGTTGTTGTTATTGTGGTTATTTTTCATTCATAAAATACAAAACACAGTTTCATAATCGAAACCTCAACCAGAAAAATAACCGGTTCGTGGCTTTTGTATTTTGTAGACTTGTTTGAATGATCGAAAAAAAAGAGATTTTTTATTTTTTTTTTAACGATTTTGTGCTCTTTACTACATGATCACTTGACTTGACTAACAAACTATGCAAATGCGGCAACGTTACGGCACGTGGGCGGCAGCTGCTGCAAATGAGAGGTCCAAACGAGCAAAATTCGAGATTTTTATGAATGAAACTCGCTTGAGGTGACAACGTAGCCGACTGGAGG